TTAAAATTAGTGTTAAAAATTTGATTGCAAACAGCTTAAAGTGACACTAAACACAGCAAAAATGCATTAAGTACCTTAACTATGAACAAAAATGTATCTTATTTGTGCATCACTCAGCTGAAGATCCTCAAATCATCTCTGAATTGGTGCTGACACTGTCCTTCCTTCTGGAGGGTGGCTACTTTTGTTCCCCATGGTCCATGTGTGTGTTGTAAAGTAGCCAGTGCTCCAAGATCGCTCCCATGATGAACTACAATCTCAATACAAATTAGTAAAGTAAACATGAGATTGTAGTCCATCACAGGAGTGAGCTTGGGGCGGTGGCTACTTTACAACACACACAGGGACCATGGGGAACAAAAGTAGCCCTGATTTGAGGATCTACAGAGCGATGCGGAAAATACATTTTGGTTAATAGTTAAGCTACTTGAATACATTTTGGAGATTTAACTCCTGAGTTTAGTGTCACTTTAACAAAACAAATCAAGTACAGACATTCCTTGGTTACCGACTTACCTGTTTTGCGACCACTCGCACTTACGACGGACCGCCGATTGACCTCCAACGTGTCGCCAGCGGAAGTGATGAGATCCGTGGAGGGGAAGTGATGTCCTCCGATCTTCACTGCGGGTCCCGGTAAGTATTTTAATTGCCCGATGTACAGTACACTATTAGGTACTGTACATCTGCAACGCTATACAGTACTGTACTAATGCAGTACAGTACTGTATAGAGTTCCTCACTTAACGACCAATTCGTTTAATGACCTGGTCGTAGGAACGGAACTCAGTCATTAAGTGAGGAATACCTGTAGTTAAACTTTATTTCACTGCTCTGCTTAACGGTATCAAATATTTCACTGCACAAGGAGTGTTCATCATGTTGATGACAATGCTGCAGAATATGAAGTGATATTAGGCACGCAGAAGGATGATTTGCATCACTGTACGCATGATGGTAAGCTCCTAGTGACCTTGGAGGCAGCAGGATTCTGCAGGAACTTCAGCCGCTGGTTTCCCCTTACTGCAGAGATCAACAACATGGCCAACAGGAGAGGTGATTAATGTATTATATGCTGGGGGCATTTTATTGTAAAGTACTATTTTAGCAGTGGAGTCACTTTAAAGATACTATCAAGCTCATCTGAGGGCATTCACATTTATTTCCTGCAAGAGCTGTGGATACAGAGCGGTTTCTGATTATTCCATACTTGGCTATGTCCAGTTTTTATCGCTACCTGTGCCCCCACTGGAGATAATTCTCTTCCTGCGTTAGTAACACCTTAGGTTTTAAGAAAATGGCAGGGTGCTTCTAGCATAGCAAAGGAAATAACACTGAAAACACCACAATAAAAAGCCAACTGAGGTTCTAACTCTTCTTTACTATGTTCAAGGCTAAACAAAATGAATTTTTCTGTAAAGGAAAGTAGGGACATCCAAAACGGGAACTATGGGTGGAGTCTGACACCTCGTTCATTTTTTCATACACATTCAATATATTACCTTTTCACCATGACAGGTTACGGTTCCACAGTGTAACCAAAAATAACTACTACATAACAAAAAATTCCCACTTCATAGACATCAGTGGAAGCTGTAAACTCCCTCCTATTATATTAACCACATAATAAACCACAGAAAAAAATAGAGAAATACATCAAACCTTCCCCCCTGAAGATTACAAATAGAACCATGAAAACCCCCCATAAAAAAAAAGGTACGAAGGGTCTCATGCATAATGTATACAGTCTCCAAATATAATGGTATTCATATCCTTTGTGTGTAGTCCAGTGGCGTCACAAGGGGGGTGCGGCCCGCACCTCGGGTGACACCAAAATGACTCACAGTCATTTTGGTGTCATCCCCCTCTGAACGCCCGACAGTATCAGGAGAGAGGAGGGGAACCGGCGGCATACCTTATCCCGCCGGGTGACTGTACCCTCCTCTCTCTGCCGGCGTCCATCACCAAGATGGTCACCGGCAGGTATCAGAATACTGCCGCGTGTGCGCGTTTACGCCATCGTGCACGCACGTGGTGACGTCACGCGCAGCGACGTCTCGGCGGGGTGACACTCGGTAACCGCTCCGGGTGTCACCCAGCCTGGGGACGCCCCTGATGTAGTCACAATATGGTGATATTAAAGATGTCATCCACAGGAGACCTCGACTATAGACCAAAATAAAATATCTTAGTAATATGCATGCCAATTCTTTCGGTCGTGTTGAATTATAGTTAGAGCCAAGAGAAATGGAGTAGGTGTCATGCCGGAGAAAGTTGAATATCGAGCACTAGCTGCTCAACTTTCGCCACCACACTTAGTTCTGTGGCTTTTAACGGACGACCTTCCTTTGGATCGTCCTGTATATTTGGGTGACCACACTTGAATTCTCTCTTCCATCGATTGACAGTCTCATATGATGGACAATCCTCTTCATACACAGCTGACATCTCTTCATGGATTATTTGGGAAGATTTCCCTTGAAGATGGAGCAACCTAATCACGGCTCAGTATTCAACTTTGTCCGGCATGACACCTACTCTATTTCTCTTGGCTCTAACTATAATTCACCACGACCTACAAAAACAAGCATGCATATTACTAAGATATCCACCTATAAACCTGCAAAATGTCTGATCCCTAGCATATCTAGATCATGGTGAGGGTAAGAACTTCTTGGCCTCCCCTCGTAAAAGTTAGTATTCACCAGTGCCTTTGTGCTTTCTTCTCATGCCGCTGTGCTTCCTGAGGTGGAGGAATAACCACCCTGCTGCACAGCGGACGAGTGCATACTGGTACCCTTAAGGATATACCACACATAAATCCAGCTGCAGTCACACCAAACTATATATGCCTAAAAGTTATTATTCATCAGTGCCTTTGTGCTTTCTTCCCATGCCGATGTGCGTCCTGGGGTGTTAGAATCATAAAGGAAAGTAGGGAGGCTGCCACAACTGACCAGCAGTCTCTGGCTTCAATACAGGGGCAGACATTCTAATGCTACAAACTGTGCAGTTGCACAAGAGCCCAATAGGGTTTAGGGGCCCATTTATACACATGGGGGCAGCAGGTGCAGCAGCCCAGCACTTTGTTACATAAACCTAGACAAGTAGGTGAAATTCTTTATTATACCCAAACTGTGCCTGTTTTTTTGATATCTAAGTGTTGTCAGGAAGCCAGAAGTACCAACTTTAGGCCACATTCACATGAGGCTATAAGGTCTGGCTGCAGATTCTTGCAGCACGAATCGCAGGTGGTTCCAGACACCTGCACAGGCTATACAGGGGTGATCATGTCTTCACCCGGAGATAATCACCAATATGCGATTACATTCAAGAACTGGGAGACTGCTACAACTACTGCCACCCTGTCGATGGTTTACACAGGCTGAGTGTCCTCATCTGTCCTGAACCACCTGCAGATAAAAATCTGCAGATCCATGCTACACTAATTAGCAGCTAGACCTTAGAAACTTGTGTGAATGAGGCCAAACTCTCATCCTGACCAGCAGAACGCTGCTCCAATTTCCTATTGACATTATTTGGCTTGGAAATGAAGGAGGCATGCATTGTCTGGCCATAGCTGTATATATGAAGGAGGCATTCATTGTCTGGCCATAGCTGTATATAATGAACTTTGAGGGATATGCCACAAAGGCTACTCTTTATCTGCAGATAAATGAATATGGAATTCAGAAGCCAGTGCCATTGACAGCAACTAGAGAAAACCTAAAATGTTAGGTGCAAGCTGTCATTTTTAAGAAGCAATGACTATGTAGCTCCTGGGATCTTTCCAGTCCCGATCTATATGCCTATTGGTCTCTACACTGTGAATATGTACTTTACGTGTGCATTAGTGACTCACGAGGCCTAAAAGACCACAGGGGCTTTTGGTGACTACGTCTACCACTGTGTCACTACATTGGGAGGCACTCACCCAGAAGAAGCATGGAGGATCGACGGTGCTCTTTAAGGGTGCATTCACACCACAATCAGAAGGAAATCGCAAGTCAATGGACCCTTCTTGTACCTTCCTTTCCATTTTTCGGCAGGTGTCAACAGATGGGCACCGGAAATTAATTGGATGTGGATGGGGCTACATTGAGGTTAAAAAAAAAAAGGAAGTACTGTGTGTTCTACTTTTTATTTCAGCGTATCGGAATGGAGAGATAAGAATTGGCGCCCATTTCTTTTTTCGTGCCCTTCCATTAGCAATACATCCTTTTGAAAAACGTATTGCAAGGCAATGAATCACAATGCAACAGGTGCGGCGTGAATGGGCCCTCGAAAGAGGAACTTCACCCCCAGAATATGCTTGCTCCTCCAGTCCTCTTCTGCAGACTACCATCTTCCAACATCCTCCGCATGGCCAGATGTGCCGCAGCTCTCATGGATCTGACAGAGACCTGCGGCACATCACACCGTGCAAGCACTGCTGATTCCTGGCATCTTATGGAGACATGATGTGGTTCTGTGCCAGATGATACGGCCATGACTGCACATGCACACAATCTCATCTCCCTGGATGTGGAA